CTACGAAGGAAAATAGATTGATAAAGAAAAAATATTTTGATTGGATTGGGTTAGCAAATATTCATATATTATTTTATTTGAATACAAATCTTTCAATGTAATTCGAATATTCAAATTCCAAATAAAACGAATAATTCAAATAAGCCTTATTCGAATAGGAACCCTACTTGTTATTATTTAAGAAAATCGTTTTAATCCGATATTTTTTTGTAAAATTTCCCAAACCGAGCATTCCCCCATATTAATATCTTTGATCTTGTTCACACATTTCGCATCCCCGAGACCAAGTAAATTACGTGTATATGGTGCAAATTCATCTAAAGACATCGTGTGCTGCGCCACTCACCGAAAATTTTTATAAATCTAAATTTGTAAGAGATCTGCGATTTTGTCACGTGAATAATGATAGATATAGATCACATGATACTTCGGATTTTTTTAAATATAGGGAATTAGAAATCGATATCCTATATAGATTTATGCGGCATCCTTTATTATGTTTATTAAAAAATGATTTACCTTTTATTTTTTTAAATTTATATCATGTGAATTCAATATGATGCAATTGGTACTTTACTATTCATTGTATGATTTATAAAATTCGTCGATATGAAACAAAATTTGTTGAAATGAAGGTTTGACTGTAGGTTCACATTATCATTATCATTATCATTATCATTACAATTATAATCATTATCATTGTTCATGTTACAAATAAGTAAAGGAGCAAAGGAATAATGCAAATAAGGTCAATAATTTTGATCAGCCTTTTTAAAAAAGCTATCCATCTATCAATAAGATGTTTTTTATGGATATCCAGATTGATCATCCATCCATGGATCAAATTTGTGCAGTACAATTATGCAAAATCATGCACTACACAATTTATACATCAGAAATCAAAATTATGCAAAAAAATTGCAAATGCATAAAATTTGACGTTTTCTACTACTGATCATAAATATTATTATCCTTTTCTTCAAATTAAGGTTAATTGCAAGAAGCAAGTTCGTATCATATATATATATATGTATATATATATATATATTCAATTAACAACGGTAATTCTACTTCAGTATGGTTTTTACCCAAAAAAGGAATGTTTATTATAATAATAAATTTTTGTTCTAACAAAAGTTATTCGTCCATGGAAAATATTACATTCTTCTTACTTGAAATCTTGTAAATATGCCTCACCATGAAATGAAACATGAAAGATTTATTTAATGATTCAGACTTTTATGATATGAAAATCAAAAGAAGAGAATATTAAAAGTCCATTCTGATATTTTAGAAACAAGATTTATCAATGAATAATAAATAATTTAAAATAATGTCCTAAATTTAGATCGAATTTTTATGGTTTAAAACCAGTCTAACTCTTGGATTTTTGATGGATGAATTATCACATGTAATTATACTCAAAGCCCGCCATACGTTAATGAATATTAATATTGATATTATCTTTTGCGACGACTGCTTATCAATCATTCCTAAAAATGGTGTTTTATTAAAAATTGTAATATATATATATAGTAATTGGTGCTAGCGACTAGTACAAATTAATGATACAACCGGTTTTAACAATAGTCAACAATTACAAATTCTCGTTATCAACATTGCATCTGCCAATTACAACTTTTGTTGTCAACATTGCGCCTGCCAATTACAAATTCTTGTTGTCGACACTGCATTGCCAAATGAAGATGAGTGTAACACCTCGTGTGGTCGTCTTCTTATTTGGTCATTTTGTTATCATTACCGAATGTATTTAATTGTTTTGGTGATAGGTTATTTTTTCATTTTACAATTTTATTTTTATTTTTATTTTTTGAAAAAATGGACTTGACAATATTAGAAAAATATTTTCACGAAAATAAAAGATTATTAAATACAGAAGATTTTTATGATGTAAAAATATATGTGGGTGTAGAACCAAATATTAAAGAAATTCATGCTCACGCATCCATAATATGTGCTCATTGTCCATTTTTTAGCGCTATATTAAGTAATGCAACAAAAGAAAATGGCTATTACATTGTTGAAAAAGTTAATATTAATGAGCAACTTTTCAAAAGTATTCTAAAGTAAGCTAAAAACAAAAACTATAGTCAAACCTTGTCACAACGGATAAAAAAGTGTATTTGAAATCCGTTATGCCAAAATTACTAGTTTCGTCATAGCGGATTTTATATGTGAAGTAAAAAATCCGTTACAACACGAATTTAATCATAATCCGTTGTGGCAAGGTTTTGACCAATCTACTAATTAATATTGATTGTTAATTAATAACATATTAATTTATTATTATTATCTATCTTTATATAAAAGATTTTTGTACACATGTAAAATCGAATTAGATAATTTTACTGGAGTTGATGTATTAGAAATATTGGTTGCAGCTGACGAACTTGGTATTGAGTCACTTTATAAATACACAATGAACTATTTTGTTAATAAACATGAAGATTATATAAAAACAAACCCAGTTGAAATTTTACAATTAATTTATTCTGACAAAAAATTCAAAGAATTGAAAAATATCTATTTGAAAAAATTTTGCAATTATAGCGAAAAATTATTTCAGTCGAGCAAATTTGAGTCATTGGAAAAATCAATCCTATTGGAAATTCTCAAAAGAGATGATTTTTCTGTTAACGAGATAGTTGTTTGGGAAAATATTCTTAAATGGGGATTATCAAGACATCCAGAAATCGATAATAATGATCCTAAAGGTTGGTTATTACAAAATTTTGTTAGTTTGGGTAACACGTTAAAAGAACTTATTTCTCTGGTGAGATTCCAGGATATTTCTAAAGAGGATTTTTTTGATAAAGTTGTACCCTATCAAAAGCTTTTTACCAAGTTTTTCTGGAACAACCTATTACAATATTATTTAATTCCTTATAGACAACAAGCATTAACCTTATTACCATCAAGAAATCCAAAATTTGAATTAAGAACTGAATCAAGAAATTCAAAGCTTGAATCAATGACAATTAATGAAAAGCTTACTTTGCTTTTTGCAAGTTGGATAGATAGAAAAAGCTCGCCATATAATTCACACAAAGAAGTTAAATATGAATTTAAGCTTTTATATCGCAGTAGCAAAGATGGCTTAAACAATATTACATTTCACCAAAAATATGATAACATCAACAAAACCCTTGTAATTGGTAAAATACAAAATTCAGATCAAATAATTGGCGGCTATAATCCACTCGACTGGGGTGGAAATGGCTATAAAGCAACAACTGAAAGTTTTATATTTAATATAACTGATAGAAATGATGTTGGTACTGCTCAATTTAGTTATGTTAATAATAATGATGATTATCATCAGAATGCAATTCATTGTGGCCCTTCTTATTTACCTACCTTTGGCAGTGGCCATGATATTCGATTTTTCATAAATGGTAGGATTTCTAGTACTCCTCGTACTTATAATAACATTAATATCGCATTAAATAATAATAGTAGATTTAATGAATTAGAAGTTTTTCAAATAATTGATAAAAATTAATTCAATAAATAAAGTCATGCTCATTATCCAAGTTGCATTATCCATTTTTTAGAAATGCGATAAAAAAAAAGGATATTGTATATATATTCTTATGAAATTATTATTGATTTTTTAATTTAAATACACATGTAAAAATGATTTTGTAAAATTCAGCGGTTGTCGCAACAGTTTGACGATTGGGGTTTTTTATAGCTTGTAAATTCTTTAGCATTTGTATAATGCCTTTTTTCCTAAATAGTAATAATAAAATAATTTTACTTTTCTATTTGTTATATCAATTCGTGTTTTGTTATTGACTAGAGATTAATTATCACCGACATAATTATTATAATAAATAATCAACAAAAATAGCAAGTGGGTTTAAAGATTTTTAGAACAATATTTATTATTAATTGTAACATTCATATCGGCAGATTTGATTTTGGGCCATAAAAAGTCTCTGAAAATTATCAAAGCCACCCCAGATTTAGTTATACTTTTTCACGACTAACCAATGGAAAAACACATTCCTAAATTTGGTTAAAACCGAAGATATGTTATCAAAACCGCCAATATGATGTAGTTTACACAGATTAACCTTAATTATTTATGCAAGCAAATATTTCTTTTTATCAATCAAGTAATGGCTTATTATTATGTTGTAATATTTACATCGAATAACAATAATAATAACTTACATAGTAACAATAGTAATAGTACAGCACACCAGGGGGTTAGCATTTTCTACATGTGTGCAATTAACGAACAATAATTTTTTTATCCTTCACATTCTCCTTCTTCAATACAACAAATTTTAGATGCTGACAAAAATTTTTTTTTTTCAATACTAGGCTTTTGCCACGTGTCTGATGATAATTCCACAAACTTTGAATCAAATGTATTCTTTTCGCAGTTGTATATTAAAAAATCCCACAGGAGGTTCCCGAGCCTTATGTATTATTATTATATTACTAATACTAGTAATTCTAGCCATCCGACTTTTAATTTAAAATAGGAATCAGTAATTATCATATTACGTTATTAATATTGACACAAAAATCTTCGTTCATTATGCAATTGTTTACGAAAACAACAACTGGAAAAAGTCATTACTTTGGAGGTATCAGAGGATGGTATTATTGAGAAAGAAGATTTTCTCCTGATCAACAACGTATACAATCGGATGGTAAATAAAAAAGAGTCCACGGTGCGTCTTGTACTTGAATTGCATGGAGGAATGTTTCAAGAAATCAACGGGCGTGTGGATTCGATGTATTTCCATTACTTACACAATGCCTGCAATAAGGCATTGCTTGTAACTGTTGTGGTGAGTAAGCGGAAGAATGGAGAAAGATAAATGTATAATTCTCGGATTCATCATATCAAATATTTCTTCAAAAGATGTCTGTCTCTATTAATCTTTCCCAATGCCCCCAACAACGAAGAAAGAGACGTCGCGATTTTTACTTGGGGAGGAAAGACAAAGGTTTTTTCACTAATGTTGGAAGTGATCACACATCTGACAAGGGCCGGTTATGTCACAGAACAAATGCAACCTGAGAGTTTGGTTATTCAAGTTGCACCACAAACTTTATCATTCAAAAAATTTTATGTTACTATTAATCTTTTCCATTTTTATTTTCTGCATTCTATTGTCTACTGGTTTCTACATATATCAATTAATTCATCAAACTTAATTCAATTGCATTCATTTTATAAACCAAGTCGACTACTTTTTGTTCTTCTTGTGGATCGTATACTTGTCCTTTATATATATCGATACATACATATCTCATGTGTTCAAATGACATTTACGAGGAATATCAAAATAAATGTAGAATTCAAAATCGTGAAACGTATTCCAGTGATGTTTGGCCTATTAGTAATGTTGCAGATGTCAAAGAACATCGTACCTTAGAAGGACGATTAACAATTGCGCGTGAAATAGTTAGAGCTACCGATTTGAAGATTCTTGTGTTATGGCAGGCCAAGGGATAATATTTTTTGAAGTTATATTCGCCTTGACCATTCCGATTTTTATCATAGCGTGAAATTTGTTTGGATGCCAAAGGAGGCATGTTATGATGCAATATACTTGATTAATTGCTTGAGCATTCTTCTTGATGATTGATAAATATCCAAGTTATTTCTGCAAAAATTAAATATATTATTAACACACGTGCAAATATTATATGGTGGATGAATCACTAAAAAGAACATTTTTTTTCCAATTCCTCAATAATTTATTTATTATATACAAGAAAAAAAATTTTTATTTTTAAAAAAAAAAAAATTGTTTCTAATTTTTTAATCATCCATTATTCATTGAAGGATGTGTGTGTATATATATATATATATTAATATTTATGTATATAGATTGACCAAAGGAGGGAGGAGATATAGTAAAAATTTGTTGAATTATATATAAAAACTATTACAATTATTTATTTTTTCGCACACGCACACAAATTAATAGCTTTGTCATGATCATATGTTATATATTATATTTCCAGCAATAAAAAAAATAATTAAAAAAAATTTACAAATTTGCTATGTTTGATAATTAGCAAAATAAAAAAAAAGCAAATTTACAAATAGACAAATAAAGAAACATGTTATATTTCCATTAACCAAGCTCTCATAAAAATTGTCCTCAAAATTCATTATTTGACTGTCCACCAACTTTAACACCACGATTAAACATTACCACGCCAGTTAACATTTTACTCAAATTGGTTTTTGTAGATTTAGCAACTTTTTTCTTTGGAGTTTTTTCAAAATATTTTGACGGTGGTGGTGAACGAGTTCCTGTTCTTTTATTATTATCGTTATTGTCACGAGAAGAAGTTATTGTAGACTCTGCTTTGGAAGCTGTTGTAATTGAAAAGGTTACTCTGGAAGAAGCGAAAGAACTATTTTTAACATCGTTCTTATTATTGTTGCTAATAATGTCCTTTGGTGTACTTAAAACAACTGGATCAGTTGATGATGGTTTAGTAGTTGTTGTAGTTGTTTCATTTGATTGATATGGATGATAATAAGCAGTTGTTGTGGTCGGAAATGAAGTCCGATGAGAATTTTTAATTGATTGTGAACTTTTTGTTTTACGAGGTGAATGATGTAAAGAAGGCGCAGATCTCTTACTAATTACATTTTTTGACTTGTTGATAGAAAGTGAACTATTATAGTTGTTATCATTATTATAATCTTGACCAAAATAATTATTATTATAAAATTTGTTGCTGTTGTAGTTGTTGTAATGATTATATGGTCGCTTGGTAGGCGTAGTAGGATGCTCGACTTGATTATAACGATTATTAAATGAATCCCATGGTGAAGGTGACGTTGATTCATTACTAAAATTATTATTATTGGTCAAAGATCCGCGACGTCTATTAGCACCCCATACAGAAAGTTGTTGTTCCTGTTTTTCTTTACGACGTTTTTCAACACGTTCACGACGTTGATTAGATGAAGACCAATGATCATTAAATGTTGTAGTTGTTGGTGATGACGGTGATGCGTCATCACGTTGATGATAATCATTACAGTCTACACGAGGAGTTCTTAATGGCTCATCCCAAGGTTTAGGTTTACAATAAATAATTTTTGGTGGTGTAACAGATAAAAGAACTTTACTGTTACTATTTCTATTGTTATTGGTAGTATTACTAATATTTGTAGCAATGGCGCTAGCTTTTGTAGTCGTTGATAAATTTTCTCCTTGTTGTGTATGATTATTGTTGATTGTTTGTAATCGTTTAATAATATTACTATTGGTATCTTCATCTGTACCAAATCCAGAATCAGCGTCACTGTTATTAGCAGCAATTGAATCATCATAATCTAGATTTTCATTATCATTAACAACAATAGTCAATGACGGTGGTTTGGCGTTAGCATTAGTGATAATAATTGGTTGCTGTTCAGTTGGTGAATAATCATTATCATTATTAATTTCCTTGAATGGTGATGATGGTGACGTGGTTGATTTACGGTCATAATCATTATTAATTTCAACTTTATTATCATTGTCATCGTCTTTGATACTTAATTCTTTGACAAATGCCCCTAAAATATCTGACCAAGAATCATGGCGTGCGACATGATCATCGTCACCATCATAATTATCGTCATAATCAATATTATATTTGTTATTGTCCTCCTTGTTGCTGCTGCGACTACTGCTATTAAGACTCGATGGTTTATAGGATTCGTCTTTAGTACTGTCAATAGCCGTATTCATTTTTTCATTTAAATCTTCACACCAAAGTTTCCATTGATCAATTTCAATCCGACCTTTTTCAGGACTATTGAATACATAATTTGCCAAAAAGTATGCAACTTTTTTTGGTATTCTCGGAAATTTTCGCATCAAAAATCCAACCTTGTCGGTTCGAAATGTGGCAAATGATTTGCATTGGTCCGGATTTGGATCACTCCATGGTGAACGATGATAGACCAAGTTAAGAAAAATTATACCTAATGACCAAATATCTGCGAGTCGTGTATTATATGTTTCATCTATGGGATTACGACATTCTATAATTATTTATTTATAGGGAAGAAAAAAATAAACACCATTTTTAAACATTAGATAATACAATACAAATGAATAAATGAGTGAATGAATGAGTGAACGAGTGAATATAACTAACCATAACTCATGTAAGGTTTAGAGCCACAATCAAAATCAATTGATTCAACTTCATCAGTAGCCAAACCAAAATCGGTCAATTTTATTTGTATTTCAAATCCATATCCGTTATTATCACTATGACCGCTTTTATTCTTATTTTTTTTATTGTCCTTATTAACCATGACAATAAAATTTTCAGGTTTGAGATCACGATGAGCAATACCTTTACTATGACAATAGCCTACAGCTTCCAAGATTTGCATAAAGACATGCTCTACGAGATTTATTCTTTCGTGTTCTGATAAACGTTTACCAGTTCTTGTATCTATGGCATCGTTATTTTGAGTCAACCAATAATATAAATCTTGGCCTTCACAATACTCGAGCACTAGAAAGAGCCATTCCGATGTTTCAAAATAATGTTCCAATTTCACTATATTAGGATGTGAAAGTTTTTCGTGAAGAAGCACCTAACAATAAAAATTAATCGATAGTTAGTAATTGAATTAATAAATAAAATGAATTAATAATGACTATAATTGTTTTTATCGCTAAAAAAAACGAATTAATATATATTTACCTCATTGCGTTGAACTTCCAAATGATCATCGTTTAGTTCAGCTTTAGATAAACATTTTAAAGCGTAAAATTTATTTGTAGATTTTTCGCGAACCATATAAACAACAGCGTATGAACCGTTGCCAAGTGGCCGAATCAATTGATACTCCAAGCCATCCTTACTATTTACAATTGTTGAACCGATTTTAAATGGTAAAATGATCGGCGATGTTAAGGGTCCAGGTATTAATGGTTGTTGATATTTAGAGATTGGTTCGTCGATCATTGGTGTAGCAGGTCTGGTTGGGGTGGATGAAGATCTTTTAAAACCCATGTTTTGTATTATTGATAAATTAATTATATAACTTTGCTTTTTTTTTTTGTTTTAGAAGAAATAAATTTTGTTTTTTTTTTTTTTGATTAATAAAATCAAGAACCCGCTTGAGATTTTTTTTAAATAATTTTTGGTAATAATAACCAAAGATTAAAGAGAAAATAAAAAGTTGGTAAAGTGTGAAAAAGAAAGAAAACGCGGGATTGATAAAATTTGTTGGGGTGGAAATTATAATTGCGGTATTTTTGATGTTTTTGTTGATAAGTTAATGAAAGTTATTATATATAATTGTTTTGAATAATTATTGATATAGATCGAGAATGTTGTTGATGATGTTGATGGGTTTTTTTTTATTTGATGATGTTGAATGAAGAGTTTGCTATTTTGTTGTCGTTGAATCGCTGATCAACCAATAAACAAGTACTCAAATAATAGTGGTGATGACGGTGGTGATGATTAACGCGGTGAAGTTGATTGAATGAAAATATGGACATCTTTTTGAAAAGAAGAAAAAATAAAAAGTGGTAATTTTTTTTAAAAAATTTAATACTCCATACTGACACTATTTGTCAGTAAATTAAATAATATTGAAGGGTGTTTATATATATAATAATTAAAATAATTAATTAAAATCAAAAGGGGAAGATAAAAAAGGAAATAGAAATTATGTATATTAACTATATTACAAATTTAGAAAATAATAATAGTGAGAGTGAAGGGAAGAAGGATGTACAAAATAATGTGGCGATGATTGGTAAATATATATTTATAAAACTTGAAATACTATTTAATTAAGGTTTAAGGTTTAAGAATTTTTTTTTTGTTGTATAGAAAGGAGTGAAGATACTTGCATATATAGCAAGATTAAGAATGTAGTGAGGTAAAGAAGAATGGGAAAGAAGACGTAACACGCACTCCTCTTGTTGAACTGACTGACTATACAAACAACTTAATGATTAAATGAATATATAATATATATAAAATATAATATTATAAAGTAAATAAGATTTAGTACATTACAAGAAAATCAATAAATGGTTTTATTATTAAAGAAACTAAACCAGTTGAGAAATTAAAAAGATATACCAGGCTAAATTATCAACGAGTAATCTGAAGAAAGAATGATGATGTGAGATGCTTGTTAAAAGCAACAATTATTGTTCCTAATAAAAAGAAATGTTGTACGGCCCCGCAAACCTTTTGAGATTTCTCGTACACGAAAAATACTTTCAACCAAAGGAATGAAGGGACGCTTTGTATATATTGTTTTCTTTGGTTGGATCGTTTATTTATTATATATTTTTTCTTTCTTTCTCAGTTGCTCCTATATATCGTATGTTTTTTTTTTTTTGACCGGGTGAATTCTTCTTTCGTCTGGCAAGAAAGCACTATAAAATATTAATTATATTTTTTGATTTGTGATTTTTGAAGATTTTCTTTTTTTTTTAAAAAAAAAAAAAGGAAAATTGATTAGAATTCGTTTTATACTTATATGTTATAATGATATAAGATATGTAATAAACTTTTATAAACTTTCGGTCTTTAAACTTCTTTAAAAATTGTCATTTATATTGATAAATCAATGATAAATAACAAATATAACACCATATAATATATAATTACATAAAATAATAATAACAACAATAATAAATTTTTGATGCATCAACCTGCTGTTGAGATATCATCAAATACACACATTCATAATCACGCCATAATTATTAATAATAAGTATTTTTAAATTTTTAAATTTTTTATTGTATTAAAAATCAGTTTTTCTCAAAAGAAATTCAAATAAAAATAATAACTTGAAAAAAAATAGAGATATAATAACAATATATTATTTATTATAATAAAAATGAAAATAACAAGTACCAATAAAGAATCCGATATATTAACAGACGCGAGCTTTTTTGTCCTAGAAGCCTTTTCGTTGAAGAGCTTGAAAATTTAAATTTACCGGCTGGCAATTTAAAGTATGGTGATGGTGAGTTTGGTGAGGTGAGGTAAGGTAGTGAGAATATGTGTTGTGAGTAGTGTTGAATAATTGAGAATATGAAATGAGAATGATTAGGTGCGAGATGTGAGAAATATTTAGGAGTAAAAAGAAACGAAGCACAAAAACAACAATGTATATATATCTAGGAGACTGTTATATAATAAGTTGTTTTAATATATTATTATTATTTTGTTAAGTAGATGAAGAAAGTCTTTATAATAAATAATATTGATGATTGTTTATTTTTACTTTTCAAAATATTTTTAAAAATATTTATTAAAGGATTTTGGTCCTCAAAAATCAAAAATCAAAGATAAAAATTTGATTGGAGAGAAACCAAACTGAATCATAAAAAACTATCACTGTTCTATTTATTACAATTTTATTCATGACCTGTGACTAATTAAGTGAAGTGACAACACTTAATAAAGTGCGTGCTACACCAATCAATCTCGTACAAAATAAATTATTTGGGGAGTTTTTCATAATCAACGTAATATATGACAACAATAATAAATATTATAGGAATTTGGTAATAAACGGTATGTGTGTTTTTTTGTGTGTAAAAGCCAAATGACTAATGACTGACGACTAATTAATTCAAACCAGTAATTAATATTAATAATATGTACATTATGTTATTCACTATTATTTATTACACACACATATAACAAATAAAAAAGAGAAATATTGTAATTTTTAAAGTTCCACGCGTCATGTATTACGTACCGAAATAATTCAACATGTTCAATTATCTAAGTCATCTAATTTAGAATATAAAGATTGTAAACAAAGATGAGTCAATCACTATTTTTTTAACATTAATATATAATTAATTAATTTAGAATTATTCATTGTATAATGTATATTAATATATATGTAAATGTGTATATATATATATATGTATAAATATATATAAATAAATAAAAAATAGCAACAAAGAATTTTGAAGATCATATTTAATTAATTTTAATTAACTATATAAATATCGGAAAGAAAAGTGTCGCGAAGGAAGCTACTATAAGAGCTCAAGAACAACATCGCGAAGACAAGAAGATGAATAATTAATTAATTAATTAGCATCATTATATCAATCAATTACCAACGAATTTATCAATTAATTTATCAATCAATCAATTTAATGAATATTAATTTATCAATCAATAATTTCTTAATAATACAAATTAAAAAGATTTAAGCAAAGATCTGTGAGGAAATTTTAATAAGTTGATAAAAGAAAAGATAAATATGTTAGAGAAGAAAATCATTAATAATAGTAAAAAGGCTATATTACAATACATTTTGGTTTTTTTGACACGATAGCGTGATTTGTACTAGTCACGCGTAACTTTAAAATTACACATTCTTTAAATTTTTTTTTTCCCCAACTTTTTTGTATTTTCTTTCAAGCACGTACACAACACTAACACTTTATGTACGAATAATTATAGATTCATACATTTAATTTTATTATGGGACCGCCAAATATCATTTGATTTAGGGGGTGTAGGAGTCTTTGAAACGTGTAATGTCATGTGACTTTAATAATACGTTTTACAAATAATTACAAAATCAAATTAGTGATGGTCCTTTTCTTAAAGTACTCACTTGATAATGTAAAGTAAACGAATAATTGGAATTGGTTTATTTGTTGTGGTCACAGAAAAGAAAATTCGCACATAATTAATTACTGCCGTTGCTACTTTGTGAAGATGGTTCTTTTTAATATTTAAATTGATTGCATATGTAGTTCCACCCTTACTTAAATATAGATTTTTGGGGTTCTCACACGAAAAATTCAAAATAAATTCTTTCCTCTTTCTTTTTACTAAATAAAATAATGCTTAACAAGGAAAACATTGTCTCCAATCGTTTAGTGACACCTTTACATGTGAGATACTTTAATTAACAGTATGGTTATTGTTATTATTGTTAAAATATTTTTTGATAAACTAAAAGGCTACAGCCTCTTATCTTATATACCAAAAATTTCAAAACAAAAGGCTATACTTGATAGTTTGTATAACCGCTGAGCAGAAGAGGAATCTTCGATATACTCAGGATTGTTATTGATCATCAGTTTATTTGTTTATAATAAAAAAGTCGAATTCTTGAGTTTTGAACATTTTATTGTTATGATAAAAAAAAATTATGTCTATATCTATCTTATATCTGTTGCTGTTAGAAAGTAATTGGCGAGAAAATAAAAAATTGATTATGATGTTGCTTTATATAAATCAGTAAAGGTGATAAATAATAAATAATAACTGATTGAATTTTCACTCAACAAATCTTTTGATAAGATTTTTTATTTAATTTTTAATGGTTTAAAGAAATATCCAACTTCAAATATATTGACCGAATATCATTTCCCTTGAAAGCAAGGGCTGAAGGCTATTTCGCCACTTATTTAAAGGAAAAGAACCTTTTTGAACAATTTTGGATGATAATAATTCTCAATCGTTGCAAGATATTTTCCTATTCACTTGTATTTATCCTCAAAACCCTCAATTATCGCAATAGCTGAAACTTGGATCTAAATAAAACAAAATTCAATATTAACGGCAGTTAATCGCGCTAAAATTCCAGCGCGCCCTGCGTTTTATTGCTGAGGCTCGAAAATTTATTGATAATTATAAAAAATATGATATGAACATGTTATTGGAAAATGGTTATGATGATTGTCAAATCAGAGAATTGAATCTTCTCTTTATTGGATTATAATTCAAACCTTTCATCAAGACAATTGTATCCTATCATTATAGAGAGTAATGATAGTTATGGTAAACGCCCGCCTTTAACTTACATATATAGTGTTTCTGATTGTCGATTGTGTCAGAATACAAATAAGATTATGGATTTCTTAATTTCAATGAGAATGAAGGTTCCTGGACTGAAAAGCCTTTTTTTTTTTTTAAGAAAAATAATATCACTTTCATCATATTTGTCATCGGGAGCCTTTTGCAATTTATGCCTATTACTAAAAATGATTACGAGCCAATTGCAAAAGATAAAATTTGCATGCATTGGTTACAAACGACGAGGTTTGTAAAAACTATTTTTCTTTCAATTTTTATAATTTTTGTTTAAATTAAAAAAAGTAAAAATTATAATAGAAACTTTTGATGAAATTGTGGAACAAATATCTTGTGCTATAAAGGTAAATATGCATACATATATTTGTGTATTTGTTGTTGTAACCTGAAATTTTAAAAAGTTATTAAAATTGAAACAAATATAGAAAATTCAACATTTTTTTGCCGAATTTTACTGCACGGCATCTTATTATTTAATTCAAGAAATGGTTTCGCATTTCATTTGATTACCTTTATGAATCTGGCGTGATTGAAAAAAGAATGCGTGTGACCACTTGCTTGAACATTGTTGATAATTTGGTTGAAAAGACTGGACATACAATTATTGTTATTATGGCATAGTTTAATAATTAGAATGATGGTGGTTTTTAATTAGGCTTAAATAATTGGCAGTACGTGTCACTAATATATAATCTTATCAGTCAATCAACTTTATACAATCGTACGTACCTCTCCATATAAAAACATCATATAAAAACATCTCTACAAGAGCATATATGTCGGGAACCAATTACTATTAATCTTAATATTATAGAAAATACCTCTCTATCTATGAACAACCTCTCGCCCTGTAAGAACATTTTTTAGAAAAGTTACTATGTTCCCGACAGAATCCTTATATGGATGTATATGTCATTTTTTTAAAATAAAAAAATAATTCGCAAAAATTGATATGCAATAGTATGCCTATTTTGATTTTGTACTAAAATAAGTGGGAGATCAAATTTAAATTTTTTATTATTTTCTCAAAAATTTTGAAGATGTCTGAAGAAGAGGTAAAACGATTACTCAAATTGGTGGAGGAGTCATTGAACGAAACTTCTATAACCATCAAACTAACAAAAAAAAGGATAACTGAAATCCCTATCGAAGTTATAAATTATGCAATTAACTATAATGTTGACAGGTAGAAATTAATAATAATGATAACTGACTGATAAAATGTTTAGATTAAAATTTTGGATATGATTAATTGATTATTAAAAAAAAGTTTAAAAAAATTCTTAGGTTGTCAATCGAAATCAATCAATTGTCAAAACTTCCAAAAGAAATGTCTAATTTCACACATTTAAGATATCTTAACCTTTCTCAAAATGCTTTTATAGAATTTCCAGAAGCAGTAATTATTTTAATTGTTTGCAAATATTTCAAGCAATATTATTATTATTCGAACATATTTACCAATATAAAGTTTTTTTTTTAAAAAAAAAAAAGCTTTGTTCAATGCCAAGTTTAAAAATTTTGGATATTAGTAAAAATAAAATTTGTAAATTACCTCAAGATTTTGGAAAATTGATGACATTACAGGTAATAAAAATATGATAGTCAATAGTAAAATTATATAAAAAGATTGAAAATTTGATATGATTTTTGTTTTAATAGTTACTGAAAATTTCAAAAAATCAAATAAAAAGATTACCAAAATATATTGCCGATATGAAGGATTTGCAATATTTAAAAATTGATTTCAATCCAATTAAATTTCCACCAAAAAGTATTCATGTGATTCCAAAAGGTGAAGATAAAGATGTCATGTTACCTTGGTTAGAAAATCTAAAGGAATACCTTAGACAAAATTCAGGTATGTTTATTTAATAATTTTTTTAAACAAAAAATTTGCAACCTTAATTATTCAATTTTTAATGTTTACTTTATTTAGATGAGTCGGATGAGATCAAAAATAGCAGGTTGGTCTTATATATAAATTTTCTGTTAATAGAAAGCTTCTAAATGTTCAATATTATATATAATATAAATAATCATTATCATTATTACTTTAGTAGTGATGAAGAAGTGGATTGTCAGTTTGATTCACAAAATAATAATAAACAATTAAAAAAAGCAACTTCAGTTGATACCATTAATTACCTATCATCTGTTAACACAAGACAAATAGTTGATAGTGGTGGTGGATCCTCATCATCTTTAAAAACAATCAAAGAAAGTGACCAGCCCATCCCAAAACAAGAGAAAAGACGTCTTAATCCAAAATTAAGTTTGGATTTGCCATTTGCTCATCGTAACCGAAGTCATAGCAATGATTTTGATGCAACATTAGCAATTTTTAGAAGTAAATTCGTTCATAAACATTCAAAAAGTGCATCTTCAGATTCAATAAGTTCAACACAAAGCCAAAGTGGCATTGCTGAAGAGAAACAAAGTGATTATTATTTCCAAAAACTTAGGGCACTTCTTCCAACAGAAAATCTTCCAATGAGTGACATCTCACTAAGAGAAGCTAGTCGAAATATTTTGTATGCATTTTCACAAGTACATAAAGCAATTCGTCAGTTTGCAATTGTTACTGGGAGTGAAAAAATATTTATGAATGATCTTAACAAAGCAGCAAAACTGATTGGACAGTTGAGTACAGCATTACAAATATATGATGACTTTGCATTACAGACACCTGATGCAGATCATTGTATTAAATTGCTTACTACATGTCAAGAGAATATATCTAGTTTTAAGTTATTAATGGAACTTTTGAATAAACAACTCAAATCACTTACACAATCTCCTGAAAATATGAGATATTCTCGTACACTTCTATTGATGCTTCATGGAGCAGTTGCAGATATCAAATTTGCATGGGAATTGATATTTCCATTATTAAATGCTCAGACGCCTTACACCGGAATGTCTACCCCTTTTAGATCAAAATCTATGACAAGATCAAATAGTAGTAATATTGCTAATGTTGCACCATATTCAGCAAGTGCAACTTCGTCATATTTTTCATCATCATCTTACAGTTTAAATACACCTACAAGTGCGGGATCAGGGCCACATTCAGCAGGACTGCATAATAACTTAAACACGGACTTTTTATTTTCAATAGCTATATTTAATCAACTTCTTTCACAAGTGGAAGTTGCAATTAAAGCTGTAGAAAATGTTATAAAATGTTTATCAGATAATGTGGAGGATGTTTTAGAACCTACTAATGAAGATCAGATGAAATCCTCATCATCTATTAAGGATAAAATGAATGAATTGGTTAAAGATGCAAATGAAGTCACCATACTCTTAAAAAAATCTTTATTATCAGCAAAATCATCCACCAATAATAAAGATGATCCATCCATACAACTTAAAGTTTATGATGATACACTGGTTTTTCTTCAGGTAAATGATAATTTTTATTTTTTGGTGTGTTTTAGAATAAATACATCATTAAAATAAAAATAAAATTTTTTTTTAGACAACAATTAAATTATGTGAATTTGCAAAGGAAGTCTCTCACAAATGGCAGTTGAACAGTAAAGTTAAATCAGGGTTAAGTCATGTGATGAAATCTTATACTGAATTAACAGGTTTATTAAATAAAAATCAAGTATTGTTGGATAGTTCTTAATAATTTTGATTATTATTGCTATTATTTATTATTTATTTAATTTAATTTAATTTAATTTAATTTAATTTAATTCTAAAAAGCTTTTATAAAAATTAATTTCTTAAAAAATAGAATTTTAAGATATATCTATCTTATTTAACTGTAAAGGAATGTTTAATTCAATTTAATCTCTTGGCACGTAATTTCTACACGAAATAGGTGTTACCCAAAAAATTTAATTTTATCCCATTATAGGTTGAAAAATTAAAAAAAATTCTTTTCTAAATGTTTAAATATAAAAATAAATTTATAATAAAACGTAAATTTCGTTTTTTATCAACCTACCTTTATCGAAGGTGGCCCTTATCAATTTTTATTATTTTCTTTTCTTTTATATTTTACATATTAATCTCAATAACTTTTTTAAATTATCCTTCAACAACAACGTCAACATTCCACGTGGAAACTTCCGTAAATATTACTCAAAATAAAGTTCAAATATGTAACGGGAATGACGTTTGTTCCTTATGGGAACCTGGGTATTGGAGAAATAGCGATTTGCAAAGAGAACATATTTTTCATAATGTAAAAAGTGTAAACGTTCCTTTGGGTATGATTGTAGTTTTAATAACTCACTCGGACAAACGATTAATAATGCCATATGGTTTTTCTGATTGTAAAGAACGAGATATTTGTTCATTTGTGGCTCGTTTAGATATTTCAGGTAAAAAAAAATTGCAAGCTTGATTTGATAATTTTTTTTAAAAAAAAGTCAGAAATATTAATATTTTTTTTTCTTAGCTAATCTTAGACTTGCTTTAGATCAAATTTCTAAATATAGTAAGCAAATTAATTTTTTATTTCTCCTTCAAAGATAATATATATACCTAATAATAACTCCTCTTTATTGATATAAAGTTGAAAATAATTCAACAAATGAAATAATTCATTTTCATAAAGCAAAATCACATTTTCCAAAGAATGTTATCACACTAGTATCACAATTTTCGGCAAATCGACTAACACGATTCGAACAAGCAATATCGGTTTGGCCCGGTCCAATCTCTGTCGTATTGTAGGTTTGATCTATCCTCTTAAATGTATTGATTTTATTATTATTATGAATTTTGTTATTAACTTCAATAATAATTCTCATTCATAAAAAAGATATCTGTTAGATCCCGAAGATGTAAACCAATTAGTTAAATATTTTGAAATGGATAAAAATTTATATCTTTATAATAGAATTAGCATGACCATAATCAAACCAAATTATTTATCAGACAATTATTTAAAATATCCGATTAATAAATTACGGAATATTGGCATTAAAACTGCACCATCAAACTACATATTTGTAATGGATGCTGATTTTGTTCCAACAAGAAATTTATATCATTTCTCAATGGAAAATCTAATTCCAATACTAGAATCACCACCTAACAATAATAACGACAATAACAACAATAGATATTATCAAAAACCAACAGCATTTGTAGTACCATGTGTTGCGATACATGAAAATTATTTTGGTAAATTTCCAAATACAATATCAGAATTGAGAGATTTATATAATAAAGGTATAGCTTACATAACTGATCCTTTTGCTGGCCACGGTCCAACTGGTACACAAATTCTATTATCACACCAATTATACAATTCAAACCCTTTCTATGAAATATGTTATGAATCACAATGGGAACCTTACTACATTATATCAAAATCATCGCCATACTATGATGAACGATTTGAGAACCAAGGCGGTGACAAACAACAGCATGCATTATCATTGAACGCATTAGGTTACAGATTTTTGGTTTTGAAAGATCATTTTATTTATCATATGGATCATAGGAAATTGGTTTGGGCTGATGGTGGCCTAGAGAAAAATCAGAAACTTCTAAAAGATTTCACTTATTTTGATCATTATATACCAGAGATGCAACGTATTTTTGGTAATAATGTTAGATGGCCAAGAGGTTGTTCTCATCCTTTTGTAAAAGAACAATTTAGAGATTTAATGGGAATTGGATTAAATTAATATAACTGGAAACTATATTTAAGCAATAATTGTTTTTAATTTTATAAATAGAAGAAATACCTAATATAGATTTTTTTAGAATAATAAAGGGCTAATATTTTAGATTTATCAAATACTGCAATAAAACCAAAGTGAACATTATGTCACGAGGAAATTTCGGGGGTCAAAACTTGGTGTATTTGGTGATAATTTCTAAAAAGGATTTATTATATTCATCACTTCATAATTTCCCTGTCACTATTTTTTTTCTTTGCTGACTATAAAGGAAAATGTATCAGTCCACTCATATATGAAATGTAATTAATGATTGTCATATAATTTTTGATCATCCATACATTCAAGGCATATTTTATGTGATTTAAATAAATCTTTGTCTGATTGGCATCAAAACAAGGCAAATAATCTCACCTTGTGTTCACAATTCATTTTTGTTTAAAAAACAAGTGATACAATGTTTTGTTTTAATCAACAATGATTAAGAAAAAATGCTTACTTTCAATAGTGAGTTTTTTTGTGAGTTGTGAGTTGGACTCCTTTTTGGTTTCATGCTTCACTATAAAGCTCACAAAAATCAACTCTATATTATAAATCAAAAAATCAATGAAATAATCAGTAAAATAGAGCCAATTCGAAAATAAATTAAATAACTATTGAAGAATTTCAAGAAATTGTTTAATAAAAAGATCTTTAACTTTGGAAAAAATAAAATAAAAAGATTGTAAATTTTGATTATTTTAGCAAGGAATTGTTTAACAGTAGTTTTGAGAGTAAAGCATAAATATACATTCGCGGAAATTGTTACGATTTAGTATAATAGATTGGAAGAAATTGTATTGTTGTATTAGTGTTGACTTTAAATAAATTGTTATCGTAGTGAAACTCGTACACTATACATGTGATAGAATAAGTTGATCACTTGACTCAATCAGAAGACCTTTTGGCGCAATTAATTGAGCCGTATGAAAACGCAATTAAAAATTGAAATTTTGGGAATTGAGTCAAAGTCAAATTAATTTTGACAACATGTATAATAAGGACTATCTAGTAAGTAAGTAAGTAACTCGGGTGCATGCTCACAATATTTTCAAATTTCATCCTAATTGATCAAAGAATGCATTTTAGAAAAAAAAAGCAAGGATAGTGTTTCTTACTAATTTTATTTATGCGATAAGCTTTATGTAATTGTTGAAATATGCAAATTTTTTTTTAAAATGCACTGTATATCTTTATTTAAATTGAATAATACATGTATTAAGAAGCACAGTAGTAATAGTAAATTTTGATTATTTTATTTTTTGTCAATTATTTGAAAAACTTCTAATTCATCAAATTTGCTACCATGTATATTGATGTTATTATAAGTATTTGAACAACTGTAAATACCATTATCTGTAAAAAATCGAATGTCACTACCATTACCAAAAATAGGTAAACAAGAAGGATCACATTTGATTGCATATGAACAATAATCATTATTTTCAAGATAGCTAAATTGTGCAGTATTAATATCATTTCTATCATTTATATTAAATATAAAACTTTAGTGGAAATAACATAATTATGTTATTTCCACTTAGTCTAGGTTATTCCCCCTCAGCTATGACGTGTCGATCGCAAAATTCAAGTCATTCGAATGTTGGGTGTATCATAAAACTCAAGTCATTCGAATGATGGGTGTATCATAAAACTCAAGTCATTCGATTGATGGGTCAAATGCATTTGCCTCGTCAAAGATGAGGCACGTAGTGCCGAATCGTTATCTTATTTGGTAACCCGAGGATGAGGCACGTAGTGCCGAATTGTTATCCTATTTGGTAACGCGAGGATGAGGCACGTAGTGCCGAATTGTTATCCTATTTGGTAACGCGAGGATGAGGCACGTAGTGCCGAATTGTTATCCTATTTGGTAATCCGATGATGAGGCACGTAGTGCGAATTGTTATCCTATTTGGTAACCCGAGGATGAGGCACGTAGTGCCGAATCGTTATCTATTATGTTATCTTAGAATGAGGCACGTAGTGCCGAATCGTTATCTTATTTGGTAACCCGAGGATGAGGCACGTAGTGCCGAATTGTTATCGTTTATTTTGTGTCCATCCAAAGCATAATTTTTTATAATATATATATCTGTAATAATTTTACCTTGGGTAGACACCAATTTTCTTCGAATTATGTAGTCAAAATAGTATACTTTGTACTTAACCGCCCTTTCTATAGCGGAGCTAGTGTCTTTGACACATAATAATTATACCTTGACTGGACACTGATTTTTCTTCGAATTATGTATACTTTTTGTGTCTATCCAAAGTATAACTACCCTTTCTATAATAATTTTACCTTGACCAGACACCGATTTTCATGAAATTCATAGTTATAATAGTATATTCTTTGTGTCTATCCAAAGTATACTTTTATATATCTGTAATAACGGAGTTAGTGTCTACGACACATAATTTTACCTTGGCTAGACACCGTTCTTTCTTCGAATTATGTAATCAAAATAGTATACGTTGTATCTAACCACCCTTTCTCTAATAACGGAGTTAGTGTCTATGACACATAATTATACCTTGACCAGACACTGATTTTCTTCGAATTATACCTTGACCAGACATTGATTTTATCTATGCAATCTTACATTCCGAATTTGGCCCATTATCAAAAATTTTGCGACACAAAAATGGTCATAGTTACCTACCCTATGATCTGAATTAATTTTCGATTTGAATTTTTTCTTGCACTTATTGTAAATGGCGACAAAATCCCCTTACCTGAGATGAATAACTAGTTGAATATAGCAATCTCTCTGCTTCAGAAATTACTATTTATCTAGGTTATATCACCTTGAAAGATATATAACAACAATTACGCATATTCAATGAGGGCTAAAGAGTAGGTTTTTAATTCTTTTTTGTGCGGAGTAGTAGGAATACCTAATTTAGCCTCAAACTTCCGTTTATATTCTAGGAAATCGATTTCATTCATACTCTCGCGCTCTTTTTTCCAGTAACTGGTATTATCCCGAAATTCAAAGGCAATCTTTCTTCTCCATTGATCTAATTTTTCTTGAGACATTTGATATTTTTGCTGTAAAAGAAGGATAAGGGTATCTATATCAGATTCGCTTTTGATAAGAAGTTCTGAAGATAAAGAAATTTCTGGAGGTAGACGCTTCATGGATAAGGAGGGTTCAGATATCTCTTTCTTAGCTTCAGTAATAATTGGGAATTGCTTGGAATCATTTGATTGAATTTGAGTTGATACTAAAGAGGGTAATTGTGGCGAATTTGTCGCGGATTTCTCAACTACATTATTATAAGAATTTTCTTCACAACATCAGGAAAATATTATGTGTATATAATACACAATTGCAGGGATTAGCATATAGTATATGGACAATTTGCATACATAAAAAAATATGTGATTTGTACACATATTATATGCTTAATCCCTGCAATTGTGTATTATATATGCATAATATTTGTACCCATTTTCCTGATGAAGCCTCATTGCAGGATTCTGAAATATCAGTAGTAGGTATTGAGTCGAAGAGTTCTTGGGTTTCATCAGTCGATTCTGGCTTGTATAGTGGAAGCACTGGTGCCACTGTATCTCCAAAACCAGTTTCATTATATGGTTTGCAATCAATCCAATATGTTTTCTTCCATACCCAATTAGTTCTTGGGCCTACACGAATTGCACCACTCTTGACAGTATAACCACACCAATTACCTAGTATTGCATTAATGAACTTTATTGTAGCATTGAGATCAGGTAATCCTTTAGCTCTGGTCTTAAAACCGAAGAGCAATAATGCATCTTCTCGAATTTTAACAATTTTTTCCTGTGATTGTTTGAAAACTTTTGCCACATCATCACCAGAAAGAATATTCATGTCATCAATATCACTAAAGCCTATTGATTGGACAAGATTATGTATCGCTTCCCACTGTTTTGCTGAATAAAATTTATGCAAATCAACTGAGGAAGGGTCTATAGAATCATGTGAATCTTCCCATTGCATTTCTTCTTTGATTTTTAGATTTTCTATAGAATTTGTTGCATTAAAACCTTGTCTTCTAAAATATGCCAACCCTCTGAAATGCTTTAAAGGTTCAGGATTATTGAATTTTTTTACGAAATCTATATTACAAAGCTTAATCCAATCATCATTATTCATACCCCAATCTTGAATATCATATTTACCCCCGATATCACCTGAAGCATATGTTTTCCATAAATAATGATGTTGTAAAGTTATATTATCAGTAAAAGAACATATAGGATTTAGCTTAAGCATTTCAGCTTCATTAGGATTGATATCTGGAGCATTAACTATTAATTCCGCATCAGAGC